TTCAGAAAGAAGGAGAACTATGTCTATATCCCCAGTGGATTTGTGTAAAGAGTCTCCAACAGGTGACGATTTAAGTGCCATCCCAACTCATAGTGATCTGAATAGGGCTTCCGAGGAACGGCTGGTGGGTTTGAACTGCTTAGCAGTTCAGTGCTTATCCTACAGTGCCACATCAGGACTCCTCACTATGTGAGAGATTGATGCCAAAGATGGAAAGTTTGAGCAAGTTTTCACCACCTTTCTGCTACTCAGAAAGTTTTAATTTGGTTGATTCCAAGTTGAATACTGGGTGTTTCCCCAGTAATTTCATACTAGTTGAGGGTTAAGATTAGGGATGGGCAGGTTGCTGTGAAAGCATGGGTGCTGAATGAACATTACTCACTGTGCACAGTTGAATGACTGGAATTATTAAATGCTCAGCAGAACAATTGAGATGATTAGGTGGTAGTGAACTGATACCATTTTGTATTCTCTTAGGCTGGGTCTGTTGCATGCACCAATATTTCCCATAGATCCCTGAAGGGTAACGTCTCAGACCAGACCCACTCTAGGTTCAAATATACAACTTAAAAAAGTTAGTGACTTCCAGAGATAGTCATCCGCTTTAGCAATGTTTGGGACTGTAGAACTTCCCTACATTGGCATTCTGCCGACCTGGGCTTCTGGGGCTCGGCCACGTCTAATCTGAGGCTCCCCATGTGTTCAGTTTGGCATTCTTGCTTCTCATTGTAAACTTTCTTATTGTCATCTCAGCCAACTCTGAACAGTTTCTTTTACGATCCATTCATTGTACTAGGGGGCAATTCTGTAATCTCTCCATGCTTCTTGGGATGAATCTTTGGCAGTGTTGGAAAAGTTAACAGTGTACCTTTGTGGTCTCGAGACACTGGCAAGTATCTTCTTCAAGTAAAGAGTTTTCCCTTAACTCTGTATCCGTAGGTGGAAATTTCTGTGATCTCACTGGAAAGACAGTCTTGGTGAAGTGTGTGAGTTTGTGTATTTGTCAGTGTACAACGGTAAAAGAATGTTTGTCATGTAACGTCATGACCTGCTTGAGGCCAAGGGACTGTCTTTGTGTAAATATCCTGTTTGGGCACTAGGTGACTGGGAAGAAATGGTACGCTAGTTTTATTTAGTTTTTGCTCTTTTTGGATTTCCTCTTTCTTTGTGTATGCATCTCTTTTCACACAAAACTGCGCAACCAAAAGCAATCCATTGTTTATGTCTGTGGTCACAAGAAGGGATTGCTTAAACAGAAAAGCTTTCTTTTCTGAACTGAGTTCTTGGAAATATCCCAAACTTGGCATTTAGTTTTCTAAGAAGTCTGTGGAGGAAATGGTGTGGAGAACCTTTGAGTTTGGGTGACTTGGATTTGTAGTGAGTGCTTATTTTGTTTTTATAGGGGAGGGAGGATACCTTACAAGGGTTAATAGAGGGAAGAGTTACTTGTGGAGTGGAATGGTCATTTGGCTATGAGAGGAATAGGATCCTGCTGAGTTGTTTGTTGTTAGGTGCCATCAAGTCAGTTCCCATTCACGGTGACGCTGTGCACAACAGAGCCTGCTGAGGATCGTGGTTCCCAGAGTCGCTCTGCTCTTTGTCACTCAGAGTATCACTCTGCCGTCTGTCTTTAGTCTTCAAGAAAATTGCTCTCCCTCTGTCTTATTCAGGAAGTAAGCTCGAGTTTTTCTCCACTCACTCCAAGGTTGTTGTTGTTGTTGTTAGGTGCCGTAGAGTTGATGCCGACTCATTGTTGTTGTTGTTAAGTGCCGTCGATGCCGACTCATAGCGACCCTATATACAACAGAACGAGGCATTGCCTGGTCCTGAGCTAATCTCACAGTTGTTGCCACATTTGAGCCCATGGATGCTGCCACTTTGCCAATCCATCTCGTTGGGGATCTTCACCACGACATCCTTCAGCGATTGGTCCCTCCTGACAATATGTCCGAAGTATGAGAGACAAAGTCTGGCCATCCTGGCCTCCAAGGAGCACGCTGGCTGCACTTCTTCCAACACAGATCTATTGTGTGGGTTCTTTTGGCAGCCCATGGCACTTTTCAATATTCTTCTCCAACACCATAACTCAAAAGCATCAACTTCTATGGTCTTCCTTATTCACTGTCCAGAATTCGCATCCATATGAGGTTATTGAAAATACCATGGCTTGGGTCAGGCGCACCTTAGTCCTCAAGCTGACATCTTTGCTCTTCAACACTTTAAAAAGGTCTTGTGCAGCAGATTTGCCTAATGCAAATACGTTGTCTGATTTCTTGACTGCTGCTTCCATGAGTATTGATAGTTGATCTAGGAAGAATGAGGTCCTTGACGACTTCAGTCTTTTCTCCATTGATAAGAATGAGGTCCTTGACAACTTCAGTCTTTTCTCCATTGTAGAGGATTGTAATGTTTGTGTTGGGGATTGTTGCTAGTGCTGTCTGGTTGGCTCTGACTCCTGGTAACTCCATGTACAGCAACAGAACGTTGTGTGGTCCTGGGCCGTCATCATGATGATCAGCTGCTGCTTAATCAGAGTGCTTTCCAATCTGGAGGGCTCATCTTCCACCATTTTCATTACTGCACATTGCAGCTACTGTGGCCTGTTGGCCACATTTTAGTCTATCAGCGTCGTTTGTCTCTGTGTCGCATTTTGGTAATTCTCACAATATTTCAAACATTTTCATAACGCTATTGTATACTTACTAAACCACTGTATAGTGCACGTGTAGTTTTTGTATGTTGTTGTTCTGTTGAGTTGGTTCTAACTCACAGTGACCCTGTTTAGAGTTTCCTTGATTGTCATCTTTGTGGGAGCAGAAAGCCTCATCTTTCTCCTATGGAGCAGCTGGTGGGCTCAAATTGCCAACCTTGTGCTTGGCAGTTCAGTGCTTATCATACAGAGGCATCACAGTCCCCTTTATAGGAGCTGGGAAACCAAAAATTTGTGTTCAAACCCACTAAGATAGAGATTAGCAAATGCTGTTGTATTGTAACATGTGCCATGTTTAATTGATCAACTTCAGACGATCTGAATAGTAGAAGAGGTACTCCTGTGTACATCCACACTTGTAGAACAACTCCCCTCCCTTGAGGCCAAGGGCCTTAGGATCTCCCAAGTCTGGTTCCTTTTTAATGCTTGATTAGAAGGCCTGGTGGCATGGTGTGGGTCAAGTGCTTGGCTTCTAACCGAAAGATCGGTGGTTTGACCCTACCAGCTGCTCTGCGGGAGAAGGGTGGGGCAACCTGCTTTTCTAAAGATTGACAGTCTTGGAAACCCTAAGGGGCAGTTCTCTGTCCTTCAGGATCACTGTGGGTCAGAAGTCGGACTGCTTTCCTGAACCCATCAACTTGTGGCATTAGGGTCAGGAAAGATTGGAGTGTTTTCCCTTCTGTTATATGTGTGTGCCAACATCTTCGTTTCTAAAGGCTCTTTGGACAGAGCCCTGGTGTGGACTGCTAACCACAAGAGTAGCAATTGAACCCACCAACTGCTCTCAGAACTCCCCTATACAAGGTTCCTGTAAGTTGGAACCGACATGAGGGCACTTAACAACAACAACAGCAGCAGAGAAGAAGGGGAGCCCTGTTGTGGCACTGTACATAAGCAGTGGACTGCTGACCACAAGTTCAGGGGTTCAAATCCACCCTCAGCTCTTTGGAAATCCTATACTGGGTTGCTGTGGGTTGGAACCAACTCAGTGACACTTACCAACAATAAGATAGAAGGAGGTAAGTGGCAAGAGTGTGATTCTTGTGAGCAAGCCATCTTCACTTTTGCTTTGAAGACCCTGTGTGGTGAAAAAGGTTAATATGCTTGTCTGAGAACTGAAAGGTTGGTAGGTAGACTCTATCCAGAGCTAGCTTCGAAGGAAAGCCGTCAGGCTATCTCCTCCTGAAAAGATAGCCATTGAACACCTGCTGGAGCACAGGTCTCCTCTAACACACGTGGGTTGTCATGAGTCTGAGTCACTGTGACAACAAGTAGTTTAACTTTCCTTTGGACTGGGATGTTGACAGGCAGAGGCGATGGGCAGGTTGCAGATTGGTCTGTACATATGCAAGCAAATTCCTCATAACTGTTTTATTACCTTTTCCTTTACTCATCTTTGGCCAAGGCGTTTTGGTCATTTGCCAGGTGGGCTTTAAGGCACTGGGTGCAATGTTTGTTGAGCATCCAAGTGTACCTAGCACAATGTACTAGAGTTTTGTTGTCTTTGAACTTCTAATTTTGGCTTAAGGTTAAAAGTATCTGCTTGTCTTAATCAGTCAAAATCTTTCTTTTAAGCTTTGCTTTCATGCTTTTTTTTTTTTTTTGCTAATAAAAGTAAAGCTTGATTTAAGAGGGAGCCTAGATCCAGAGGGCACCGGAGGAAGGCAGAATCTCCGCTGAGTAGTATCCAATCTGTCTGGGTGGGGCTGATGAAAGGAGATGCGGATAGGTCTCTTGTGATACAATAGTGAATAATTGTTATCGGGACTGACTGTGAGGGTTGGGAATGTAAAGGTAGACGTTTTGTAGCAAAAGGAGGGGAGTGATTGACTTTGTAGTCCAGGAGCAGACCTGGGACCATCAAGAGAGAAGAGTGGACAGCGGGACCCTACCTAGAGAAACAGTGATGCCAGAGATGAAGGCAGAGATGATGACGTGGAGAGATGGAATGGCTGGGGACCTTAGACCCCGAGAGGGAGAGGGGCTGTGTGCTGACAACCCGGGGACAAGCTTGCAGGGTATACCCTTTGGTTGGTTGATGATGCATGGAGGGGATTGTAACCATGGCAATGAAACGATATACGATATGATGAATGTAAAGCCATGTAAACTATCACATAATTCACAATAAAACATTAAAACGATATACGATATGATGAATGTAAAGCCATGTAAACTATCACATAATTCACAATAAAACATAAAAAAAAAAAAAAAAAAAAGCAAAGCTTGTATTTTAAAAATTGGTATGATTTTAAGTTTAAATTAAGACCTTTTCTTCCCCTTTTAGGAAGGCTCTAAGGTAATTCAGCCTATATTTTTGGGAAAAATCATTGATTACTTTGAAAATTATGATCCCACCGATTTGGCAGCTTTGCACACAGCCTACATCTATGCCACAGTGCTGACTGTCTGCACCCTCATTTTGGCCATTCTCCATCATTTATATTTCTACCACGTCCAGTGTGCTGGGATGAGGCTACGAGTAGCCATGTGCCATATGATATATCACAAGGTAAGTGGCATTTACTATCAAAATGTGTGGCTCCCTTGGAACATTAGAAGCAGTGTACCAAAGTTAAAGACAGTTTTTCTTTTGACGTCTGTACTTTCTTTGATGACAAGGCAAAATACTAACTTTCAAACTAAATCTAATGAAAAAGTGAATGTTAGATTAATGTTCAGTGGTTTTATGTGCAGCTCTCAGTTCTATGTATGGAAAGGAACTGTTCACTGAAAGCTTCGTTTATTTCCCAGTTGTATTTAAAAGTAAACAAGTGAAATTTGATTACGATTAAATTAGAGAATTAAATCGAGGAGAAATGAATGCATCTGAGAAGGGGATCTATTATTTGTGAGACTCGTTTAAAATGTACAATTTGCTCATGCTACAAGTTGCTATATTTTAATGAACTGTTTAATCATTGAATAGAATAAATCTGTTAACTGATGAATATAGATGGAATCCATAGGAAATTCCTAAAGTTAGTTATAGTTTTCTTGTAATACATATAAGAAAATGTTAGGTGTTTGGGAGAAAACTTTAGATTTGTTTTTTATCATTTAGTAATTTTGGAGAGAATGTATGGTTTCATTTGTTTTCTGTTGCATTTCATTAAATTTACCTTTGATTTATTTCCTCCCTTCCCTTTCCCTTCAGTAATGCACTATAGAAATTTGAATGATAAGACATGATTTGGTATGTTCAGTATTTTGTTTTGGAATTGAGAAATACTGTTAAATTATCCCATCTTATGTACTCTATTGTTGTTAGGTGTTGTTGAGTGGGTTCCAACTCATAGTGACCCTGTGTACAACAGAACAAATCACTGTCTTAGTCCTGCACCATCCTCATTCACAACTGCTGTTACATTTGAACCCATTGTTGAATGCCTTCTGATTGAGCAGCTCATCTTCCAGCACTAGATCAGACTACGTACGTTCTGCTGCTCTTCATAAGGTTTCCAGTGGCTAGTCATTCAGAAGTGGTCCTTGTCTCCTTTTTCAGTCTGTCTTAGTCTGTGAACTTCACTGAAACCTGCCCACTATGGATAGCCCTGCTGCTATTTAAATTCCCAGCAACAGACAAGCCACCCAGTATGACAGACTGACAGACGAATGGTGGCATATTCTCTAGCCTTTAATAAAACAGGAGTGAGACTTTCAGATTAATGAGTAGCTTCTGAGATGTCACTGTGAATAATTGAAGACATCATTATAAGCATGGTCCTGGATATCTCTTTCTTTTTGGCTGTCTGCTTTTAAAAAACCCCCAACAAAACAACCAAAAAAACAAAACTTCATTCAAAGATAAAAACAAATTAAAGTGTTACTTCTTTTACCTGTTTGCTACTTATTTAGAGCATCTGTTTATTCCAAATACTTTTCTCAGAAAAATACAGCATGTTTTTTTCTGTGCCTTTCTTTGGGCAAAGTCTGGGGATTTTGTGAATCTTGGAGGCCTAGCATCGTATTACCATCTGTGTGAGCTACAACATGGGAGTCCAGTTTCCTCATGGAAATGGTGATAATAGTGCCTGCATACATTACTCAAGGGCTTATTATTGGGTTGTTGTTGTTGTTGTTATGTGCCGTGGAGTCGGTTCTGACTCATAGCGACCCTGCACAGGGTTTCCGAGGCTGTTAATCTTTACGGGAGCAGAATGCCTCATCTTTCTCCCGCGGAGCAGCTGGTAGTTTCGAACTGCTGACCTTGCGGTTCGTAGCCCAATACGTAACCACTACACTACCAGAGCTATTATTGGGTAGATGAAACTAAAGCACGTTTCAGATCATGTGGTGCTTGTCCAATGAGTCGTGTCATTCTCCTCTTCTTCCTCATCCTCTTTCCTACTCTTGACTGCTAACCCAAAAGTCAGTGGTTCGAATTCACCAGCGATCCATGGGAGAGAGACGTGGCAGTCTGCTCTGTGAGAATTTACAACCTTGGAACCCTTTGAGGGCAGTTTTACTCTGTCCTACATGGTTGTGCTGTGGGAAAAGGCACTCAACCACAAGGTTGGTAAATTCACCAAATGCTCCTCTGAAACCTAAGTTGTTGTCAAGTGCTGTCGAGTTGGTTCTGACCCACAGCGACTCTGTAAACGGTTTCTGAGGAGCGGCTGGTGAGCTTGATCTGCTGACCTTGCAGTTCAAACCGACTTTGCAGTCCAGCGCATTAACCCACAGCGCCACACTTTATAACCCGCTGACTTAACAAAGAGTAGGCTTGCTGTGAATCCGAATGGACTCCATGGTAATGGGTTAGGTTGTGTAATTGGTTTTCTTTTCAACTGTTTAGGTGAAGAGCATTGAGATTTCTGGATGAATTAGCTAGATTTTTGTCTTGCCAGTTCATGAATAGTTCCAATAAATAAACAGAAAATTTCCGTAGCATTCATTTGTTAAACCTTGAATATTTAAACTAGATCTGAATTGGCGGTTCTATCAAATGGCTCTTTGCACTGATGAGTGTTCTTCACCTGTTTTTCTTCCTCTTTCCACTAACACCTTGGAAAGTAGCCTTTGGGAAATCTGATCTAACCTGGCACATTTGCTTACCCAAATGTAAACATCTCCCAAAGGTATTAATTTACCGGATTGATTCACCTAAAAGAATTGTCCCTTTAAGAAGTCAAGAATTGCTTGGGTGGGTTAAATCAGAGACTTAACCTGAAATTCCAGAAACATGGGAAAGACAAATTTCCTCATGTACTGATTATGTCCAGAGACTTGCTGAGATGAAGAAATTAGACACTTCTTCCTCTTGCATGGCTGATTCCTTAGGGCAAAAGCCCGCCCTGCTTGAAGCTATGAAAGGGCCCTCTGTGAGGGTGTGCTGAATACGCCCAGACCACACCTCCTAATCCTGGGAGAAATCCAAGGCGGTTGTTGTAAATGGGGTGATGGCTAAGCTAACAGTAATAGTGTGTGGTATTGGATGACATTATGGGATGTGTGGTACAAAGGACTTGGCATTCACACAGCTTTAGTAAAATTACTTTTGGCTTTTGTTCACTGATTTTTTCTTGTTTAACTTGAGAACGAATGAAGAGAATTCAAATGAATTTTAACTGCACTTTATTTGGATGAAAAAAAAAATTGGTCATATTTATTTGTGGAAGCTCTTTGAATCTCTGGGGGCATGTCTTCCATGGTGTTTCTCAGAAATTTTTAACACATAAAGGGATTGGGCAGCATAATGCGTGCCTGTGTATGAGCAGGATGTGTTCATTTGGGATTAAACACAGGTCCATGCAGCAACAGTGCTTTGAGCATTTAAATTTGCTAAGTTAAAAAAATCACCACCAACATAGTCCCAATATGACTGCTTTTAGGGCTTCAATCCACTGCCTGCTGAAAACCTGTGTTTCTACTCCAGACATTCTGAATCCAAATCTGCATTTTAACAAGTTCCCTAGGTGATTCTTCTGTGGTTTTGTGGATCTTGTTAAAAGGTAGATTCTGATGCAGTGCATCTTGAGTGGGAATGCAGAACCCTACCAAGTAAAACAGTGGCTTTTTTCCAGTTGTGAGTAGCTGCCCAGGACATAGAAGAGGGAGGACATGTCCATTCTAAGTCTCAAGGGGTTATTTCCTCAGCTTTGAGCATGGAGGGGAGGCCTGGACTGGGAAAGCCTTAGCTTCAGGGATGGAGATCTTGGATTTGGATGTCTGACAGACTCCAGCCCCAATCGCTGGTGGGGATGGGTCTCCCATACTCCAGCCCCAGCTGAGGTTTAGGTCCTAGGTAGTGCTGAGCCTGAACACTAATGGTTTTTAGATCTAGAGCAGAAAGGATAGCAGTCCCAATGGCCAAGATGGTCTTGTCATCTGGATTTTGAATTGTAATGTCATTGTTGTTCTTGTGTGCTGTTGAGTCGGTTCTGACTCATAGCGACCCTATATAGCAGGGGTGGGGAACGTTTGGTCCCTGGGTCCTATAAGGCCCATGAAATCATTTGGTCTAGACTTACCAAGGCAACCACAGTTCCAGCCATCACATTAGGGGTGAGTTAATTAAATGCTTGACCAAAATATAGCAGGATAATTTTTAATATGATAGTTTTGTATGGCCCGTAATGATGTTATAAATTTTGGAGAACAAAGGTACCCTGCTGTATAGGGTTTCTGAGGAGCAGCTGGTGGGTTTGAATCTTGTGGTTTGAACCACTACCAACAACAACTGTCTGGAGAAGTGGAAACAAAGGAAAGATGCTCCCCTACAAGTGATCTTTTGGAATGTCTCTAAAGAGAAGAAAGAGTTCAGGCTCTAGCCAGCGTAAGCATGGCTGAACTGATTAATTCTACCCAAAAGTAGGTATCGTGTAAAAAGTAGCAGAGAACAGCTTCTGAGAGCTCAGTGACCGATGGCTTCCATGCTCCTTGCTTTCAGAACAAGTCATCAGGGTCCAGTCTTCAGAAGCTGACCACTGTTGATAGCCACACAGGCTCTTTACGATGGACTCAAAGTCTGGAGACACAGAGCTGGTAGACCAGGGAGCCTAAAGAACAATTACTGTGCTTATGTGCATCATGAGAGAGACCTGGTGTGACGCTGTAGGCTAAGCACTGAAACATAAGGTTAGTTTGAACCACAAAGTTGGCAGTTCAAACTCACCAGCCACTCCTTGGAAACCCATATAAGTTAGAGCCAACTCAGTGGTCCTTAAAAACAACAACAACAACAATGATATAATTGTATTTAGGCGATCTGTCTCAAAGGAAGGCTTTTCTGTAGATTAATACCGTGTTTAGAGAAATATTTTCACCTACCACTAAGTGTATTTTTTAAACCATTTTAGTAATGATGTCCTGTTTTAGTATTCTGTAATTGGGAGACAAATGGTGTTCTTGGTAACTTGTGTTAGGTTTCATGTTATTAGATTCTCTTCATCTTTCTTCATGAGGGCTCTTTCTATTTCTTCAACCCTCTTTTTAGACTTGTCTCCTCCAGGGTACTGGTCAGGACAGCAGACATCTTTGGTTTGTCATTCTGTCGGCATTTGTCTTTGT